ATATAAAATGATCTCGTGGGCCGGATATAATTACACGCCGGGCCGGATGTGGCCCGCGGGCCTTGAGTTTGACACATATGGTCTAGAATCTTTTCCAATGTTTGGTTCCTAAGAGACTTAAAAAAATAAGGAATTAAACACAGTCATTCTATATTTAATATTTTGCCTGCTAAAATTTTGTATTCCATGCAAAGAATGTTAACATTACCTGTTATTGATATTAATATCTAATTAATCTGTAGACATTTTATGTTGTATTTTAATGAATTTTTATCTTGCTGTAAACTGCCCAGAATCGTTTCACAAGATGGGCGGTGACAAATTTGATAAATAAAATAAATAAATATAGTTAAAATATAAATGATCTGAACAATGTGTTGCCTTTTATTTTTGTCTTCATGACTAGGTAAAGATTTGTATCATGTAATTTACTAGAAATAAAATAATTATCACACTCTAATTCTATACATTCCATAGATGGATTATACCAGTAACTGTGGCAGCTGATTATTGTAAAATGACAGTGTTCTGGAATCAAATGTATAGTCCTGAGGTATATTGCAGGGGTGCACAATCACATGAAAATGTGGACTGTGACTCTCCACTGTGTGTGGACAGCCTGCCATAAATGAATTTTATATTATCAGAGGAACTGGGTGAAGAAGTTATATCTGTATATTTCATTAGTTATTTCTTACTGATTCTACCCAATTAGATGCCAGTGACATTTGAAACAACATATCCTCAGATTTTTGAAGGCTTTCTACCCATAGGAAACCTACTTATTAACATGTGAGTATCCTGAAATCATATTTTATATTAATTTGGGTTTCTTTGTGGTTTGGTTTTGTTTGTATGAATTTGTGGGGTTTTTTTTCCTGCAGTTAAAAAACTCAGTAGAGCAGATGGTTCTTTTATTGCGATAATATACTTTTTGTAAATGTCAAGCATTCATTTTGTGTCCAGTGAAATTGATGATGATATTGTAGGGCTGTGTAGTGCTTTGGATTTGAAAGTAAAAAGGTGCTCCGGAGCATGCAAAAGCATTCACGTAAGCACTTGCCTGGCACTCCTTAAGCCAAATGCATATTTCTGGAATCATGTTGTGATTGCTTTAACTTGTCTGAAGTGCAGCACAGCCTTGCTATTATGTGACTATGCATGCGGACAGAACTTGCCTCCCCAAAGGATTCATTTTCCTCTTGGTGCTGTACTGCCTTACAAAGGCAACTTTGTTCAAGCAGACAGCTGAAAGCTGGTGGAAGAGTTTCAATGGATACAGCTATTAACGCTTTAAAAAAAATCTGTTAATAATTTTGGTATGTTATGATTGTTAGTTCTCCATGAATATTATGATATGAATGTAAGATCAGTATGTTCACAGTTTTCTTAAGTAGATAATACTTGTGCATGCATTTAATTTTGTCTGATAAATCTGCAAGCAGAGCACTCTAATATTTAGGGTTTGAGTAGGGTCCTGAAAGCTTTTTTTTTAATTTCAGGACAAAGTTCTAGCCAGTAGGATTTTATTAACATATGTTTAATGAGATTAGCATATGTTTCTCCTAGATAGTTTCTGCTTTAAATAAAAAAAAAATGAAGCTAACTAATCTAACTCAAGGGGAATATTAAAATAGTGGGGCTCTGCAGCATTATTCTGTAACATTTAAGACTTGAGTTACAGTTGTTCCCTTATTATCAACTCATATAACAATGGCAAGGAAACTTAATTACACTATGAATTATACTGGTGAAATAAATAGTATATGTAGTCTAATTAAAGAATATGTAACAACTTTGACAGGGAGCGACTTTTTCCAATCTGTCGTGTCAATGACTTCCAGATTGCAGACGTTATAAATCCAAGTAAGCATAAAAATTTTCTTTGGTTTGTATGCTTCATGGCTCAGATATTCATATATTTTAATTTACCAAAGGCGGGTTCACTACATTTTACTTTATCTTTTCTATGGTTAAGTTTCCATTGCGATATTAATTTTTTCAGGGGCAAGGGTTGGTACAATCATATGGAAATGTAGCATGTTAGCACATTGCCAAACTGCAGGCAATGTGGTATGAGAACAGGGCCTTACTGCATGTTCTGTCTAACTTACAGGAATGTAGCTTCTCCTGTAATGGGGATTCCAATTGTGTGGAAGAAGTAGTTATGCTTCAGTAAGAAGAAATTGTTCCAAGTGTATTTATTTCATTACATTTGTATATTCTGTTTCCTCCAGTCCTAGCCCATTTACTCTTTGGAGTAATTGAGAAGAAACACTGACCCGTATGACTTTGTATACTTTATGATAAGAAGGAATTTGTTTATTTTTATTTATAGGGCGCTTTTCCATTCCAATGAACATTTATATCTCCTTAAATTGTTTCACATAAAACAGTGAAACATATATCCTGAAATATTAATAATAAAATCACTTATCGTTACAGGCAGATCAAAATAGATATCTTTGCAGATCTTCCTAACTTAGAAAGATTAGGAGGAAATGCATTCTGTCGCCTGCAAGAAAACAGTCTCTTCTTTATATCTTAATGTCTGAACAGATTTGAAATCTATGAAATATAGTTTAATAGCAGTGTCTTAAATTGTACCCATAAAGCAAATTAGGAACACGTATTTCAACATAAACCACATTTTATCACAGAACTCTCTACCAAATTGCAACGTAGCTCCCATATTTCGCATCAGTTACAGCTTCTGGACACTTCTCAAAGCATAGTCCTTCATAGAGCATGTTGCAGGAGCCTAGATGGAATGTGGACATGATCAAGGCATGATTTATTGTTGCCAGTATAAGCATCTCATGCAGTACTGTGTCTGCGACTGTACTCTTAATCAGAGCTCCCACCTTGTAAAGCCATTCAGGAGCAACCTGCAGACTTGTTCTTTCAGAGGAGGTGTAACTCCAGCCAGAACGGGCTCGAGTTATGAACCCAAGTTTGAGAGAAAAAGCTTTTTAAGTAATTGCTTCCATTGTTCTAACTATATAGAATCTACAGAATTTGTAGATGCAATTCTTGAAATTGAATGGGATCTAGTACAGGGGTATATCAGTAAGGAAATAAATCAGTTAGAAACAAATCCAAGCTCTTGCAATTTGCTCTTGTCTGGTTTCTGCTGATTTCTTAATCTTATTTAACAATGACATGAAAGAAAGAGCTTCTCACTTTTAGAAATTGTTAATGGTTTAATAACTGAATGAACACAATAGAGTCAACATGGAAATTTGAATGATAACAAGACTAATCAATATCTAAAATCAAAGCTGAAAACATCTCACCTCATTTCTCCCAGTCAAATCAAACACTGGCTATGGAAAAGCTTTTCAGGTTGTATCTGTAAATTAATGACAACTGGGTTCAGTTTTGCTCATGATGTAATAAAGCATTTGCTTCTACATTTGAGAGCAGTACCTTTGATTTTTGTTGCTGCTGATTTGCACTGGATTGCTTAGTCATCTATGAAAAAGTTGCTTCTAATTTGTATAAAATATCAGAACAAATATTTTTCGGAAGCATGCCACCCCCATGTTCAATTTCAGAACTGGGAACTACTGTTTTAGAATTGAATTCCAAAATAAATAAATTGAAGTTCTTTGCTGTAGATATCTGGGTGTTTGGTAGTGGCTTGATAATGGGATTAGATTCTTAATTGTTTAATAGCCAACCAAGCCACTTCCCTCCTTACAAAATTATTAAGATACTAAATTAGACATAAAAATGGAAATCTGAATGGATTTTTAAATGCAAGGATTGCGACTTCAATTATATGTTTCATTATGAATCCCCAAAAAGAGTGTATTATCCAGTATTTGCCTTTGTTCATATACCACAAGACTTGCATTCAAATATTGTGACCAGCTCCCAATGAAACTCTTAGCTGAAAACATTTAAAGTGCATTTCTGGTGTACAATTTAATAAATACTCAATATTTTCCTAAGCTGCTAACCTCTTCCTGGTTGGTTTGTTCTCAGACAGATATGAGTTCAAATCTGGGTGTCTTTAAACTGTTTTATTTTGTATTTGTATTGTAGAAGCAAAGAGGACCGCTCGGTTTTTGAGTGGCATTCTTAATTTTCTGTTCTTCCGTGATTCACGCCGTGAAGTCTACTTGGAAATCCAGAGTATACATGTAAGATTAATTTTTTCATGTCAGATCTTCAAAAATGAAAGTTCTGACAAATTGAGTGTGATGTATTTGAAAAGTTTTTCTAGCTTCGTGCATCTTTTGTGTAGCTAATTTTCGTATGCTTTTATCTTTCCAGTTTTTTATCTGTTATACATATATGTGTGCTGAAATGCACTTAACAGTTTTGTGAAGGCTCTTATAGTAAATAGCTTGGCTACCATTTTCTAGAATGTAAATGAATTGCTAAGAAAGTCAAGCTTTGCAGTAAGATGTATACAACATTTCTGTTTCTGTGAGCAAAGGTCGGTTTAGTATTTCTGGGATAACAGATACATAAAGCACAGCAGATACTGTATGAAAAGGATAGGATTAAGGAATGGAAATATTAATTGAAATTCCACTTTTGGAACCCTATCCTATAGGGAAGTGTGTAACTTAGAAAATGCATTTTGTTTTGAGCCTGTGACAAATAGCATCACTTGATACATTCCAATAGAACATTTCAACATGGCTGCATTCCAGTGGAATAAAATTTTGAATCAGTTGAATCTACTGTAAAAGTAGTCCTTGACTTACAACCACAATAGGGTCTGAAAAATTCTTCGTTAAGTGGTGCAGTTATTAAGTGAGGCATAGCATGACCGCACCTGATTTTATGAATTTTTTGTGGTTGTTAAGTGAACCTCGGTCATTAAGTGAATCACACAATTCCCCATTGATTTTGCTTGTTGCAAGCCAGCTTGTATGGTCACAGATGGCAATCATGTGACCCTGGGATACTGCAACTGTTATAAATACATGCTGGTTGCCAAGTGCACAAATTTTGATTACATGACCACAGAGACACTGCAATAGTCATAAGTTGCTTTTTTCAGCACTGTTGTAACTTCATATGGTCGCTAAATGAATGGTCATAAGTTGAGGACTACCTGTACTCTATTTGAACAAAACTAAAATGTTTCAATTGTTCCAGACATAGGAAATTCAGAACAAAAGTAAGTGGGGTGGCAGTCCTTGATGATTGTTGCTGATTAGCCATCTTTGCAGAAAGATTGGGATAAGGGAAGATTTTTTAAATGTTTGGAAGCATAAAATAAACATTGAAAGTAGTTTTCAATGAGGAATTAAAAAAAAAAAACCTAAGGCAACACATAGGACGGGACACAGTACCTTAATGAACTGAACATATTTTTCTGCAGGATGTTTGGTCAAATTGTTTTCATTTATTTTGTTGTTTGGTTTGATTGAAAACTGCCTTGAGCCTTCAGAATTAGGCAGTCTGAAAATCTGTATAAATAAATAACCTTTCCATTAGTGCCTCCTAGTCCCAGTGTAAAGGCGGGCAAATTTCACTCCACCTGGCTTAGTGCCATTGTCTCTGCTTTTAAGAGATTCATCATGAAATAAAATGGCTTAAGCCATGAGTCTCCAATCCTGGGGATAGAGGAGAGGTACTTTGCTGTATCATGCACAGCCACCTGCAGTTCCAGCAATTGCTTCCATAACAGAAAACTTGAGTTCCATTGGGTGGGGACAGCCTGAGGATCAGATGTCAGGTTATGTGGTGTTAGTTACCTGGCATTAATATTGCACTGTCCCCACTTTCATTCCAGTAGAAGTTAGGCAGCACTTGTCCATAAGAGCTTTGGCAGCAATGCTGATGGCCAAAAGGTGGCCTTTCGAGACCAAGGCCATCTTGCACAATCCATATAGTCTGTGGGTTCAAAGGTCTTACAAAATAAAAAGAGTTCCACTTAGCCCTTTTCCCCTTGTCCACCCAAAATAGATGGGATGGTAATTGTCCTATCATCTGATTTGCAGAAAAAAGGAATTATTTATCTAGCTATCTATTCATTTTGCATCTTAGTTCATGAGACTTGGAAATTGCTCTTGAAAAACCAGATTTGTGGACTTCTGGGTGAGTCATGGCTGACTGAAGATGTCTCAACAGCATAGACAATGATCACTGAAGAACGAAGGACCAGTGAGCAGACTGGTCCTTCAGAATTTCTCTGGAGAGGGGAGAGAACTGGAGATAGCCCACAAGCACTCTGAATGGCAGCTCCTCGCAAGGGGACCATAAAACAGTGGTCTCCCGTGGGTTTGGGAGCTGAGGAGATGACATCTTTGCTCTCGGCAACGGTGTACCCTTAAATAAGGACACTAAGCCAGCTAAACTCACTTTCTAATCACATTTGAAAATGTTCAATTTAACTGCTTTATGGATATTAGAGACCTTCAAAATGGCAAGCTTAATTTCACACCTGGTGAGTTATCTTCTTTGGGTTTAAGGAATTTTAAACAGATTTAAGAGTTTAAAATAATATACAATTGACAAAAAACAAAAAACATTTTTTTGCTAATTTAAGAAAGTTTTAAATGGACTGGGAGACCAAAGAGATTTGGAATATTGGTTTTTGTTTTTTGTTTTTTTGTTGTAAGATTTGAAAAACAAGTATAATTAAATAATATATCTGTAGGAACCAACTGAAACGGGACTAAATCCATGTTAGAAATTGAGGCTTAATGAAGGTTGCAAATGGTTACTAGAGGGAACTAAAGGACCAGGCAGAAAAGAGTTAAAATGGCTAAGCTGGCTATAACTTTTACTTGTCTCAAAAAATCATTTGAAAAATGGACTGAGGTATTAATAACTAATATCTCAGAAATGATAGATTTCAATGATTAAACGTTTAGAAGATGATGAGAAATTTTTTTAAAAAAACAGTTGTTACCTGACGCAAACATTATAGAATTTGAAGGCATGGAAGGCAACAAAATTGAGATTACCAAAATGGGGATACAAAAGACAAATCAAGAAAAGGATCTGGACATAGAACAGCTGCA